GAAGTAACAAAACAATGAATTTCATCTCCATACACGTTGATAAAGAGCTTGATTCTGTCCTCCTGGACCTCATCCTGGTTGAAAACTGGGTAGTTGTTTTGGGGCTGACGAAAATCCCTCTCACAGAAGCAAGCGATCCAGTGAAGAAGAAGAAATCGTTTATGAACGTCAACATTTTAAATTAGATTTCGGACGCTATCGCAAGATACCGGGGCACTGTGATGGGAATTCATTCAAAACCGCGTAAAACACCTCCTTTCTGTTAAAGGCGGGGGGACTAAGCCTTAGGTTGGGAAGAAACTACAAGATGCTGAGCAATAATTTCCTTCCGAAGATCCCGCCCCTTCTCATGGCTTGTTCCTACATTTTGCCCCCGCATTTTGTGATAGCGCCACAGTCCGTTTCATGCCTTTTTTGCGACCACTTTGTGAGTACAGGCTGAAATATTTTAGAAGGTTCAGGGAAATTTTTAAAGTGAGTCGATTTCTTTGAAAGACTGCTCGTCCCTTACCATCATTTGAAAGTAGTAAGAGAACCTGCTGGATCATTCAATGAAACCCTGACAGCCCCATGGCCAGATTGGGAGTGCTGAGACAAGGAGAACGAGATTTCTGTTGCATCGGTAGTTGCAAAGCTCGCGTATTGAATAAGACACCTGAGTACTTTTTCCAGGGGTATTGCTTTTTTCACGGTTTTGTGTAACCTTTTACTTTTCTCCAGAGTTAAAAACCTTGCATTGAATGAAGAATTCGTTCAAGGTAGAAGTAGTTCCAGCCTTTAGTGCAGTTTCTTGTTCAGGAAAGTCATAAGGAAATTACAGTATGCCCCTCTCAGGTCCCAAAATGGCCATTTCTTGTTCGCTTCACATTCGTGAAAGACTCAACAACACCGCGCTGACATTTTAAATCGTAAACGCGAGTGATCCGACGGGCGGAAATTCCGTGATGACCGGCCATTTGCATTTGAATGGCGCTGTACCCCTTCGCTCTAATGCGTTTCTCGGCGAAAACTTCACCGCCGCCGTAGTCCCACGGTAAATATGCATATTATTAAGAGCTCACGAGACGAATCGAACCCCGCCACGGGAATTCCGTCTATTCAAACCGGAGTGTATACGAGATAGGACAACTAAAATGTCGCGGAGTTGAGCCAGAAGGACAGACGTTCCAAGCAGGGTGAGCCAAAGTCGACTGTTTCTTGGCGCTAAGTTGTATTAGGCTCTCAAGGAAAGCAGGGTCATATTGGATGAAAATGGCAGTTTTGGAAGACAGGAGGCTGAGAATGTTGTATGAGAACCAAATGGAAGATTTATCTAAATCTTGGGTGTGGCACAAAAGATTGCAAAATTCTGGAATTTTTTGAAATGAAAATTTGCAGTGTTCTGCTTCAATTTGTCATCTATCTTAAACCTTCGCTTGCACCATAGCCCCCGCTCGAAGTACCCCCATCGTAGAAGGAGAAGGCATGGAAGATACAGCAGGTAGATCGAAGAAGATGCAGTATGGCCTGAGAAAAGGTTTTCTGGGACGGTGGGAATAGCTTTGGCTGTTGATAAAGGGGGAGCAGGTGGTGAAGGATGTCGTTTAAGCCAATTTTCGCCAACAAGCTCATAACGGTTCCAAGGTCTCTCTCTTCTCCATTGTATGGATTGGTGAATCCAGCAGCTGGGCGCTATCACAAAGATACGGGGACATTCTGGTGAGGTGACAGTACATTTAAAATCGCGCAAAAAGAGTGTTCTTTTTGTTAAGAAAAAAGGACTAAGCCTCGAGTGTGGGGGAAATACTCTCGAACGCGTGGACCATTTTCGTTTTTCCCGGAGTTCCGGCTCCCTCTTAGGCTTAGTTCTAGAGGGTGCCCTCGTATATAGCGATAGCATTAACCATTCTTTACATTCGCTGGAATTGTTCTACACCTAGATCCATCTGGTATCCCTTCAGACTTGATAGACATTCACTTTAGATGCAAACCCTCGCCGCCCTAATCCCAGCCCGTCGATGTGTCCGAATTTTCCCCCGGGAATAATTTCTCATGTGCAACGTTCAAATCGGCAGCGCTCGTCAGTGCTCACTGGGGACATATGGAATATATTTTCTCACGCTGGGAAGACCCGGGTTTGTTAGTACAAAATATTCGATCCTAATAACCAAGAAGAAATCTTAAGAATTCTGTAATTTAGTGGGATATGGAGCTTACCCCGACTTCAACTCGTCGTTCATTTACTTCAACAAGGTGTGCGAGTTTCCGCGCGTTCTCCGGGATTGGACGAGTTAGCACTGCCCGCTCGAGCAGAGACTGGGGATCCACCACGACCATAACAGTGGAGCTGCCTCGTTCGTCTCTGAAACGATAGAATTCAGTAGGTGGAATGTGGGTGAAATACAGAACGACGTATGTAGTTGCAAGAAAGTATGTCGAGATGAGCATCGTAGAAAGTGAAAGCGAGAAAAAATGAAAGAGAAATGTTGAAAAAAAAGGTTCAAAGGTAATGGCAAGTTTATCCTATACAGCGGCTGATCTGTTAGAGATATGCCATGCACGCAGACTTCCAATTCAAGTGCTGGAGACGATGGATTAGACACCACAACCTCCCCCACTTTTGAGCTCAATAACCCATAGCGATACAATTATGGAATCTACCTATAACAGCGTCCGGTTGATCTCTACAGGAGTTGGTGTAAACTAGCTAGACCCTGTCATAAGCTTTGTATGGATATCTGCTGCTAAAAACAGTTATTAACAAAAGCAGGCCAAAATCAGGTTGAATATTTCAAACGATTTTGTGTGTAAGATGTGTGGGCACAAGACAAAACAATTAAAACGCTCAAGAAGAACTGATCGACATATTCGTCGCGATTTCTTCCTTCCTGGGGTTACTCGCCAGAGGGGAATGTCAATGATGAATGTGACCGAGACCGTGAACTTTTTGAAAGCAATTTCGTGCGAGACTGAATCGCGGCGTATGGCAACGGAAGTGCAGCGATAATTAATGAAGCAGTAAATTCGATATCTGCAATTGACCGTGGCATTGGAAGCCTATTTTGAAAATTTTCGAAGAAACAATGGAGCTCTAAATGCAAAGACAGGTTGATGGTACATCTGCTCTACCTTCCTCATACCGTAACTCCATGCAAGAGCTGAGAAAGGAGATCTAGGTACATCGATAGAGTCTTGGACGCTGATTACAATATGGACACTAAAACTGCTACGCGAATTTTGTAAGAAAGTTGTGAGCCAAAAGTTGCAAAAGAACGCTAATGAGGTGCAACGTGCGGAAATATTTTTGCTTTTGCCTGGAACTTGAACTTTATAAGGGTGAATGGGTGGCCTGATTATGAATATGAGGCTCGTTTTGGCGCAGAGCCACGGCGACTGTGATTCCACCAGGTAAGCTCGCCTCAGTAACGTTTTTGCCAACTTTGAAGGCTCATAACTTTCTTATAAAGTTCACGTAGCAGTTTTAATGTCCATATTTGTAATCAGCGTTCAAGACTCTATCGATACATCTAGGTCTCCTTCCAAAGTTCCATGGGAAGTTTAAAGCATTCTTTGGTGAAGAGTTATTATAGAAATTGCTAATTGATAGGATATGTTGTTGGTCTGACTGTAGCTTCACTCTACAACGTCATCAAAATCAGAACTTGAAGAAGTTTAAATAATGTTCAAGGTCCCGTGTGTACCGTATGCGAACGTTCTCAGATTAAGGTTAACTGCCATCAGTGAAGGGACAGTACAAAACAAGAGAGCTAAGAGGGATCAGAAGAAGACCAACTTGGAAGCTCCTAGAGTTGTTATTTGACTAATGTTGACCACTTTTAGGCAAATTACCTACACTTACTAGCCCAGTTTAAATAGCTGGTTGTAGTTGATTCAGCTCATGCAGATTGAAGACAAATCGAGGCGGGTTCCGGAGGATGGGTCGAATGAACAGAATAAAGCGAGAACTGCTCCAAAATTAGAGGATAATTTCAGCAGTTTGAGCAGTACATATATTCTTGAAGAAAGTATCCCGATTTCTCGAGAATGAGAAGAAACAGAGGATAAAGGATAAGGATAAAGCATTTGCCGTTGATCAATCCCTTTTTGGGATGCGGCACGCATTCTACTTCCATTTGTACATTCGTAGTGGCGTTTGAATGCGATGTGGCCTATACAATGACTTGCGGGGGCCAGCCGATGTACAAGTCAGTGTTTTTATCCTCCCAGACAAGTCTGGTACCAATTAACCGACCCCGGAGGGATGGAAGGCTTGGTTGGCCCGGGCGACTCACGACCCAGGATTTGATCCCCGGACCGCTCGCATGATAAGCGCGCCACTTGTCACTGCACCACTTCCGCCCAATACAATACATTGGGATGCCACTGTTGAATGCTTTGGTATC